GTCAGACGTGACGCCGCTCCCGGGGAGTCGCAATGGCACGGGAGAGCCACCAGGGAACCAACTGAAAATTGTACCGACGCCACCCGAATCGCGCTCACCATAACCTCGTAAAGTACGGCATTAATCCTATGGCGTTGCATGAAAAGGAAAATTAAGGGTCGTTCCCGGATTTAACAAAGCTTTGCCTGGGCCATTCACGCGAACAGCCTGGGAAAGGATGATATCAATTCCGTGGCACGATTCCGGTTAGAAGAAAGGGAATTTGAAAATGGATTCCGGCCCATCTGCGGCTGTCGGTCGGGGCCGTGGGACGCTTCTCAGGGTCCCTTCAGTCGGCCGGAGGGTTCCCCTGGAGTCATTCGACAGGGGAGGAGGAGTGGGCAGGGGTGGGGTCCGGGTCGTCCCTGAACGGTAATCGGTCCGCGGACGCAGTGACCCGGCGTGACCCGCCACGGCCGCAGGCCATATCGCCACGTCGGCCGTAAACGTCGCGCCGTGAGCTCTCAATCTGGCACCCCATATTTCATCGCCGCACTCCGGCCGGCCGGCGGTCCTGACGGCGACAAATTCGGCGCACTGATGGCGTTTGGAGCGGCCATCGTTCGCACCTGCCGGTCGTTATCTGTCCCGAGTTCGGACCCTTTATTGGTATATGGGCCGGCATCGAACGGGGCTCGCCCGTCGACTATATAGGAGGTGACTGAGGACCTTTAACCCTGCCGCGTCCTGTGCCAGGCACTGGCGAATGGTGACGGCGCAGGCCGCTCACCAGCGTCACAGGTCGGTCCACCCCGGCCGGCAGGCTGCCGGGCCGTTTCCTGCACCGTTTTCCTGCACTAGATCGGCGCGTCGCCGCCGCCGGCGTGGCCCGGAGGAGACACGTCACCGGCCTCCCGCCGTGATCCCAATACAAAGTGGTCCGTTCGGAGGCCCGGGTAACAGCGCGCCGCCCTCATTCACAGCAGCTTTGTCCACTCTGATCCAGCCGGAGAGGCCGGGGTGTGCTGCCGTCCGGGGTGTGCGTGTGTGTGCGTGCGAGCGGTTCCACTCGGCCGGTGTTTGTGATGGGCTACCCGTGGGCCGGCGGCGGTCACTATCACCCTCCCATCGCGCCCCGGCAAGCTCCGTCCAATTACCCTCGGCCGGCAATCACCTAACGGCGCTCATTACGGCACGATTACAACTTCTGTGTTTTCAAAACAGGCGGGCGTGGGCCGCCTCTGTGCCGCCGCGGCGCCCCGTCAGATGAGATTACCCCAAACTCCGCTCTCCGGGAGAGGAGGGTGGTGGGGTCGGCCGAGTTCGTCAGCTGGCCGAACGGGAGCACGTCCCGCAGCGACGGACACGCCGCGGCCGACTTTCGCGGCGTGGTGCGGCGCGGCCGAGACGACGATGGCGTGTCACGTGTGACGCGGCGCATTCCGGGTGGTCGCGCTGTGACGCGCCGCGCCGCGACCGTCGCCACCGCGCTGCCGCGAGATGAGCCGCCCCAATCTGGGTCAATCGCCGGCCGCTGTTTGCCGGGTCGCCGTCGAGCCGCCCTGAAGAGGCCCCGCGGCGAAGCGGGACCAGCCGCCACCGCAGATCGGCCTCCGATACTGTGACACGCGTCCGATAAACACGGCGCCCTCGTATCGCCGTCTGCCGTCCACTCAGCGGACCCCTGGCTGTCACTGCCTCCGCCACGGAGCCTCCTAGGAGCCTCTCAGGGGCCTCTGGACGCCGCTGACGCTCTTGGGTCGGCGGCTGCCCGCTCTTCCGTCGTCTGCCCGCCTGCGGCGTCGTGGGCGGACCGCCGCGCGCCGAACCGTACCGGGCCACCGCCGAATTCGGCTCAGTTACGCCTCCTTGGGGCGCGGCCGATGAGCAGACCGCACGGCAGACCAGCGCTGAGCGGCGGCTGGCACCAGCTCGACCGCCCCCGGGCTGAGAGGCCGCGCGCAGACTGAAGGGCTGTCCGGTCCCGCCGCCGGGTGGTCGCCCACGACCTTCGGCCCGACGGGAGACCGGAAAGGCAAATTACGAGTGGCGCATATTTTCCAGGGGAGGCGGGCGGACGCGCCTGTACTGGCACCCGTGTAATAACACACGCTGGGGAGACTGAGACCGGTCCGTGGGGACACCCCGATCCCCCGCACACCGGGCCGACAGCGGCTCGGGTACACGGTGCTCTGTAAAAAGTCGAGCCTCCCCGTGGGGTTTGAAGAACGAGGCGCCGAGAACAAGACAGCGCGAGGATATCGGGTTCGCGTCGTCGCGGAAAATTAAATGGGTCGACGAACGGGGAGAGATGGAGACATCCCTCACCCGCGGACGGCTCGACTTACGGCCGCCACTAGGCGAGTCTCGCCCAATTTCCCGGCTCTGACTGGCGCAGACTGGACGCGGAGTGGGTGGGTCGGCCTGAAAGCGGCGCTGGGCGGGCTGTCGCCTACGCCGCCGGCTGGTAGTAGCGTGCGTTAGATGGACCACTGGACGCAGAGCGTCGATTCAAACCCCGAGCGACGCGCCGCCTTCCGGAGCGTGTCCGAGATTATTGAGAAACTTTTTCAATCAGAACAATGTCGGCTGCTCGGGCCGCGGACGGGTGCGTTGTGTAATTGGTGGCGACACGACTTCGGAGCTCGCTGACGAGCTGCCTTCCGCTGGGAACGCGCAGTCCGACCGTCTTCCCGGCATTGTTCGTCGTCAGAGACAGTCGCCTGGCTACGCTCTCCTGTCGCATTGCACGCGCGTTTTTCCCCTGCGGCCCGTCCCGGCTCGACGTGCCACCGGTGTGTGTGACGCCCCTGATCCCCGTGACGGCCTGTGACATCCTGTGATGTCCTGTCTGAATGCCCTTTTTGTGCCACCGGACGGCTCAACGGTCCAGTGGCTCAGAGGATGGCCATCTCGCGGTCACGTGAACTGTGCCGCAGTCTATAGCGCCGTATCACGCATGTTCGCGTCCGGTGTGGGCAAACGTGCGCCCGTCCTGCCCTCGTCACCACAGCCACCGCAGCCGGCGCATTTTCTCTCGTCCGCCTGTGTGCGGCCGACAATCAAATGGTAATCAACCGACCGACTCCGACAAAGGAAACCGCCGCCGTCCGATTCGGCCGAGGTTGAGCAGGAACAAACAATTAGCCGATGGCGTCTGTGGCGGCGGCGGCGGCGGCGGGTCGGCGCAGGTCGCACCGGCCGACCCTAATGGCGGCCCCTTCCCAGCGGTCGGCATCCGACCGGCTGAATTGGGATCATTGAGCGGCCGGCCGCCGCCTCCGCACGCCGTCTGTGGCTTCCTGACAAGGTCACCCAGCGCTGGGGGTCAGTGGGGAGGCGCCGGCCCACGCCCTATCCGCAACGGCCGGCACGACTTCATACCGTCTGAATGGCGCCACTCGCCGGTGGACTGAGCTTAGCAGGACGTCCGGCGGGTGGCAGATGACGCTGGTCGTGTCGGGATTCCTCTCTCCGCGCCGGGGTCAGAGGCGGTGCCGCGCCACACTGGCGGCGGTGCGCCGGTTTCGCCGCGGTTCGGCGGTACCTCCGTGCCGAGTTGCAGCGTGCATACTGATGGGTACCGACAGTGCCGGCGCGCGCGACCATTTGTAACCGCGGCGGGCCGGCGGCCGGCTGAGGCAGCTGGGGGAGTGACCATGGCGATGATAAAGCTTCCCAGTCGCGGCTCTTCTCACCTGCATGTAGCACCTCCGGGGACAGAGGCGCCGCCGCGCGCCGGTCGCCGCCCGGGACCAGCACAGGTTTGTTGGTATTCACAGTTAATACCGGGGAATCGAATTGACGCCGCTCGGCGGGCAGCAAGTGGCTCCGCTAACGCGGTTAGTCGGGGTCATATAACTAAGCGCTGATAGTGGCGACGCTATTGGCATAGCAATGGCTCGGTACCTGGGCCGGCTGCGGCCAGGAGGGGGCAGGGGTGATGGCCGGAGAGGCTCGGGACGGCCGCTGAGCCGCGAGCGACCGCCGCCGGACGGGCCGCCCGCGCGGCGCACCTCCGCCCCGCTCAGCTAATGATGATAAACTGGGGATGAGTTGTCGTTTTTCGATGTCATTCTCTCCTTATAAATGGCGGCGATCGCCACAGCCGGGTCGGAGCAGGGTCTTAGGTCCGGTCCGAGCTAGTGGCGGAGATGGGGCGCGACGTGCGGCGCATCCCACCCCTGAGGAGGCGCCCGAGGCGGTACGGCGGCCGTACCCGCCTCTGGAGCACGCCCCGGGGCACCAGTCCACTCTCCGCCGCACCGGCGCCGTGAATAGAAAACTAATTAGACGGCGCTGCGATGCCCAGTTGGTCCGACGGACCGGCGCGGAGCGGATGGTGATACACCGGAATACGGGCGCCGATGACAAATAAGAAAAGTTTCGCCCAAGTTTGTAAAAGTTAGATATTGCCTGCTGTCCCTATATATAATGTCGAACGGGAATGGACTGACGCCAGCGGTCGATGAAACCCACGGTCACGTGAAATTGTCTGCCAGTTTTAGACGGCCTTTGTCAGAACGGTGAATTACCGCGCGCTTTGCGCCTGATTATGGTCGAAATTGAGAAGCACTGCTTTCCCGGCGTTTGATGGTAACGTTCGCTATGATAAATTTACGGCTGCCGTTGGTGGCTTGATACGCCCTTAATATTCGCGCCTGGCCCGTTTGTAATTGGGAGTCGACACCTGAGTTCCCTATCGAGCGAGGTAAACGGCCTTCAGCTAGAGTGGTCAGCTGATTAAATGGGCCGCTCGTCCCCATCTAATAACGCCATCGCTGTTGCAGGCAGAGTGCTTTTCGTCATATTTTCATTTTCAACACTAAGCAAACAAGCCTTTCAGTTTCCTCATGAACAGTTAAAACTACCACCTGTGTACGAGCCTACTACCTCGACAAAGACTTCTTGCCTTCGCTCAGCATGTGTCCCCTCATACGGCTCAGCTCGGGCTCATTACCCCGTGTGCGTGCTCTCAGTGTCTTAGAATGCATGTCTGACCCGATATCCCCTCTCCACAGCTGGGCCTCGCTACCGGACCGCCTACGCCTGCGAGCACTCAAACCTCACATTCAGCTGTGAGCAGGGCGAGGTGATCCACGTGGTGCGCGCCAACTTCGGCCGTTTCTCCATCACCATCTGCAACGAACACGGCAACACGGACTGGAGCGTCAACTGCATGAGCCACCGCTCGCTGCGCATCCTCACAGACAGGTCAGTCAGAGGGGATTGACGCTGCAGGTCTTCCTGCAGGGTTACGCAGCACAGACGGGCTGGTCAGGAAGGGTCCCTCGCGTCCCCCAGTCACTCCCCTTGGATTCCTCAACGTGAGGGAAAAGTCACAGCCATGGAGCTGTCCCTTGCGACGCAGAGCCCCACCGGTGGAGGTGACAGGTGACAGCGGGGTCGGAGCCACAGTCGTCCCCCGCGCGGGTACACGGCTCGCAGGGGATCGTTACAGACCGACCGGTGTAATCCCGTATCACGTCTGTAATCCTCCCTGCGTCGCCGGGCTGTGCCACGGTCCCTGTCCGTCGCGGCCGGTGGACGGCGGTCACTGGCCGGGTTGATCGGACCGAGGGTGGAGAGGGGAGATTGGACAAGATCCGGAGATCCCCAGCCCGATCTCGTGCCGTCGTGAGCTCCCCGTCACGGATTGTGGGTCACGCGAGGGGAGCGAAAGCGCGCTGCGCCGCGGCCAGGTAGCGCCCGAGTCTCAACAAAGGGCGGCGAGAGGACAGACGCCGGCCCACGTCGGCTTTTGATGTCGCCAGGCGTAGGACAGGCTTTCGACGAGGACGGCACCCCGTCGAGTGCCGGACGCCTGCCGCCGTCCCGTTGCGCCATTGCTGCCGCTCGCCGGCTGGTGGCTCCACAAAAGACGAACTGGCGCGCGCCGAGTAGGGTGGCATCACCTGCCCTCGCGGCCCCTTTTGCCGGCCAGTTCTGCGCGGCCGGACGGCTGGTCCACCATAACAATGACAATTATCGGCCCAGCGGCGGAAACGATTAGCGAGTTGTTGACGTCGGCCGGGCTCTGTCATCAAGGGATTCAGCCGGACGGGACGGGTCTCTAGCCGCTCTGCAGCGTCCAGCCTCCCCCGGTTCAGAGCCGTGGGTGGGTTTGATCCAGTCCGGTGTGCGCTGTCATCAGGACGGTCTCCGGCCGCGCGGCGCCCAATTAGAGGAGCCGGGCATCGGCTGCTCAGCGGTCCGAACCACACCCCACCGGGGACGGAGCGGGGCGCCGACCATCAGCCGCCGACGCCCCCGCGGCGCCCCGCGGGCGGATGCCGGCCGATAGTGCGCCCCATTAGACGATAGCCGACGTGTGCGCCCTCGGCGTCTCAGCGGTCCCCCGGAGGACACCGCCGGCGACGACCATCGCTCCCAGGAGCACCGCGCCGCGGCCGCAGTGATGGATCGGTCGCGCTCACTGATGCATTGCACAACTACACTCGACCGCCGCCGATGGCCCGGAGGGAGTCTCAGAGCGCCGCGGGACCGACCGCGACACGGAGAGAAAGAACGTGACGTGCCGCCGCCGCCGGCCCATCTCGCCACTTTTCACCGCCCTGATAGATGCGCCACCGGGCCGAATGCAATCAGAGGCGAATTTCGCCGGCATTTTTCATCCATCGTATCTCAGCCGGGAATCCGTGCCGGGTCCGGGTGCAATATTTTACTCCCGTGCGGCCGTCTGTCCTGGTACATTCTGATTAAAACCGGTAATGCAAAACTCTGCATCCAATCGGCGTCTTTAATACAGTCCTCTTTTATTATTTACAGCCGCCAATAACTCGTCTTATTGAAGGTTTACGGTGACGGGCTCCGTACGGCAGTCGCTGACACAGAGTCCATCCTATGGGGGCTCTAAAGCTGCCGTGCCGACAGCGCGCCGCGGCGGCACGGTGAGCGGCCCATGACTCCGCCCGCCGCGCCGCTGCGCCTCCTCTGCAGCGAGCGGCCGCTGCAGGCCGACCTCCGCTGCACAGATCCAATCGCCGCGCCGCGCCGCCTTATAAGAGCTCGCTGCAATAAGACATCCATCTCATTTAGGAATGTGCCAGTTGAGCCGGTCGGTTCGCGATGAATGTCGAATTATTATTGGGATTTGTATCGGCGGCGTGCGGGCTGCTCCAAGGCCGGCTGTCGGACGGCGCAGTGATTTACCGGGCCGCGGAGGGCGCGGAGGTGGCATGGAGGTGCCGGGATGGCGCCTCGGGTAGGTGCAGAGGTGTGTCGGGGAGGAGAGGAGCGGCCCGAGATGGGGGGGGGGGAGCGCGGAGCAAGCCGAGACGACGCCGTGAGCCAACCCCAGCCGGGCAGGCGAGACGACGCGTGTCGAGCGGGGACCGCGCGGTATCGGGCGGATCTCGCGGCGCCGCCGACACGCTCAGATGTGGGCCGAATCGCGCCGCTCCAGATGGCCGCTCATGAGCGAGCGACGCGATAGCGGACGGATCCATCACGGCTGCGGCGCGGCCGCTCCGTCGGGACCGGCTCGCGGCTCGGGTAACTCGGTCACACTCCCCGGAGACCCATCGGGCGACGGACGCGGCCGCGCAGCTCCCCGGTGGATGATAGCGGACCGCTCTGCTCCCGGCTGCTCTGCCCGTCTGTATGTGACGGCCCGCCGCGCGCTGCACCCGTCCGCTGCCGCGTCAGGCTGCCAATTAGGTGCGGGCGCTGCAGCGCCGGTCGGCACAATGCTCGCCTGGCCGGCCAATAATGCACCGGCCGACGGTGATTACCAGCGGCAGGCGCCGCCGGCGGCCGGCCTCTCCGCCGCCGCCATTGTCCGCGCGATGTAATTGCCGCTTGTCAATGAGCATTGGCCATTGACCGGGTGGTGCGGCCCGTGTTGAACATGGTCGGCGCGCCCGGCGGCCGGCCACTGCCGCCGTGCGCCACCAATGCCGCCCGGCGCCGATTTGTCACGTTGAGAGCGGCCTAATGCGGGCGAATTACGACCCGTGCCGAGCTCGCCGGGTCAACAGTGCGGCTCGGAGCTGTCCCACTCTGTGAGGAACGCCACATTGACGGCTAATATGCCGAGCCGTAATGGCCTCAGGCCGTATTGCATGTCATCGTGGCCGCTGGAGAGCGTCGAAATGTTGAAAGGAACGGCCCCGCGGCAGCACTGAATGACAGACCCATATTACGACAGTCGATATTTCCCTGCGGCACCGCGCACGGAGCCACTGTGCTGCGGCTGCCGCGCAGCTGGGCCCGTCTGCTCGTCTGTTCGGCACCGCGCGGGTCGGCTCGCCGTCCTGTAATTAGTTGCACTGCTGAATACCATTAGCCGTCTGTGATCCGGCGGTCTGTATGACGGCGGAGCTCAGGCAGCCGCCCGCCGTACTGGTCGGTCTAGCCGAGTCGGACAGAGCCTCCCAACGGCAGATATATGCGCTGCAGCACTGGGCAGCGCCGCGCGGCACATGACAGTAACCTGCAGAGGCCTCTTGGACATCGGCTTACTGCGGCTCACTCAGGGACGACAAAGAGCTTCAGCAGACGGTAGTCCGACATCAGGCAGCGACTCAGCTTCTGGAAGTCGCAGCTGCTCAAATAGTTGACGCGTCACCAATCTGTCGCTCTATCCGCGCTGTGACGCGGCGTCAGTGAGCCCGGCGTCATGACGTGGCGTCAGTCCTCCCGGCGGGGTGTCGCGGCGGCGTCAGAAGGCTCTGGCGTCACGTCCCCGTCAGTCGCAGCTGCCCAATTTGGACGGCGCGGCGGCACGGTGCGGTGGTCGCCGTTTTTGCGGGCGCCAGATTTCACGGCGGCCGGCGTATCTGCGGCCTTCGTCGGTCAGTTGAGACGCTTTTTGCCGGCCGCAGCGGCCTCTTTGCTGGAAGTTGGAGCGCGGACTGGGCCGTTTACGGTTTTATCGGTGGTGGCCGGTCGCTTTTTATGCGCGGCAGCGCGTCATTAGTGAACGGCCGATCGGCGATGATTTATCTCCGTTTGTCACGAGTGTGCAAAAACGCAGCTCGGCTCGGCGGTTACGGCACTCTGCGGCCGGCCGATGGCCAGTCGGCGGGCGGGTGAGCGCAGACGGCCAGGGAGATGTCGGCTCGGTTTTTTCCCCGAGGCGGAACCGCCGTCGATGTCGCCGCCGTGTTAAGTCTGACGTACACCTGGAGCTGAATCTTCAGACCGAGGTCGCACACATCCGACAGCTGCGGCTGCTGCTGGGATTGTCTGAGAGAGGAGAGGAGGCGAGAAGGAGAGGGGAGGAGAGGGGAGAGCTCTCGACACTTGTACAGCTTCCCGACAGATGGACGGTGTGCGCCAGGGCGTGGGCGGCTCCTCAGGCTGCCCCAGACATGTCGGTCAATAGTGAGGATAATCAGAAGGCGCCGGTGGCTGGCCGAGTAATCCCATCACCGCCGCCGCCGCCGCCCCCGCCCCCGCCGCCGCCCGAGGGCCCGCGCCGCTCACCAATGTGTCGGCAGCTCCGCCGAGAATTGGCAGGCCCCGAGCGGCGCGGCGCGCTGCATTGTGGCCAATATCGCCGCGTCGCTGACGGCGGCGGTGGACACTTCCGTCGCCGTCGGTCCATCTGTGCGGCGGCGGGGGCGCGCCGTCCGACTATTTCCCCCCGGTCGGCCATTCGGCGTCGACGCAGAGAAATGGGCGCAGTCTGTCAGTGCCAGCGCACACGGCCGCCCGGCCCGCCGCGATGTTTGTACCCGCTCCGCCGGCGACCCACCGTCGGTCATCACCATTGGCGCTCCGGCTCACGTGCGCGCAGCCGACCGAGCGCCATTCAATTACTAGATTCGCTTCTTTGGCAGAATAAAGATACTGGTTCGGAGATCTGGCTGGCTTCGAGTATGCAAATGCAGCCGGCGCCGCGATCCGCAGCCGGGCTGGGAAAGCGGCCTGTTTGCTGACGTGGTCCGGGGGTAATTTGCCGGGCGAATTTATCTGCCGAGAATGCAAATTAAATATCCACATGCCGAGCGCCGGCGGCGCCGGTCGGTTTGCCAGCGCGGGCGCGCCGGCCGCAGCCGTTCGCTCGCCGTGAATGTAAATGTCCGTTTGCGGCGCTGCGTGGTCTGATGTTTGAATCAGGCGTCAGACCGACCGAGACGGGCGGGTGGGACCGGGCTCCGTCCGGCCGCCGACAGGGCGCTGATCTGTAGGGTTTCTATGTTTGGGGGTGCGGCGTGGCGGCGGCCGGTGAGGTCTCAGGGCCGTGCCCGCCCCGGTTTGTGAGCCGTGTGCACCAGACACCAGCAGAGCCCTCACACTTAACGGCGACAAGTTGTGCGGGGCGCCGTAGATGATGGGATGCTCAGTGCAGCACCAAGACTGACGACTGCCGCGATTGCCCCGAATAACAATGAGACAGTGGCGTGCCACGTCCCCATCATTTTCGGCGTAACCCTTGGCGCGGCGAGTTTGTTCAATAAGTCGCCCGGCGCGCCGTTTTTCTTTAGCGAGGCCGGCTGCGTATCACCAGCTGGACGCTCGTGTTCCCACCCCGAGCCCCGGTGTGTGAGGACGCTTGACTAGAGACACGCCCCAGACTGAGGCGGCATGGGAATGAACCGATCGTCATCTCCATTCCCAAATAGAGTCCCCCTGATTAGCATGACCTGTTGGATGACACCGGAGTCGGTCTGAGCTGGGAGTCGCATCTTTTCAAGGCCGCTTCGCACAGCACCACGCCGGGATGGCTTTAGTAGCTGATCGACAGCTTCCTCTCAATGTCAGGACCAGGACGGTACCCAGTTACCTCCTGACCGCCCGCGCAGAGTCAAACTCCCGAGTCCCGCACACCAACCCGCGTCGCCGTTAATATTCATAGGCTGGAGGCCTTAACGGTCGTGTCGGCTTTTATCTGGTTCCGTGAGGAATTTATCAGAATATTAGGCCGGTCGACGGTGTGAAATTGAGACATGGCCGCCATCGGCGCGACAGCTTCTCCGCCCTGTCTGTCAAAGCGGCGTGCGGGCGGCGCTCGTGGCGCCGTGGCGTGTCGCGCCGCGCGACGCCCTCGCCGACAATGCGCCACTGGTCGCCGCCCTCTCGGGTCGATCCAATTTTCTGGCGCTCCGATCCGATAAGCAGCCCACAGGTGCGGGGTAACAGGACACCGGGGCCCTCCCCGGCCGGGCGGGCGGCGCTGATGAACCCTCTCGGAGGTGGGCGGCCGTCAGCCCGGAGACGGCGGGCCATCAGTCGGGAGGCCCAGCGACCGGAGCGGCGGCAGGAGTCGGGTGGTAGTCGGACAGGACTAGGAGTCGACAGGAGTCGGTTACAGGGCGGCCTGTCACCCAGTATTTCTGTCACGAATCTATATGACAGCACTCACGACCGCCCGGCGCCCCTGATTCCCCGCTCGCCGTGGGCGGGACGGGGGCGGGCTGAGCAGCTGTGTTGCGCGTGCAGCCGTCTAATGCAGCGCGGCGGGGGCCCGAGCTGCCGTCAGCTGTCGGAGGAGGGCCGAATCATGCGCCGGCGGCCGGCGATGATCGCACCCCCGCCGCGCCACCATCGGCCGAGCTCTATTGGAAACCTGACGGGGGGCGGCCCGACCCCGATCGGCATCTGGCCTCATCCCGCCTGACCGGCCGGGCGGAGGCTGCACGGGCGCAACTTCCATTATCCCGCCTCCGTTTACGGGCAATTATTCAGAAATCCTCACCCCAACACCTCGGCTGACGTTGATAAATTCTTTTGTATTGTTCGCTGGGCGGCCGCGGCGCCGCCGGCCAGGCGGTAGTTGGTGGGACTGCCGCGTGGCGGCGCCACCGGTCGTGAGCAGGGCGCAGGTGGGACGAGCGGCGGCGGCCGGACAGAGGCTGGCAGGGAGGGACGGCGCGGGTATGCCGGGTGCCGGCAAACAGTGGCACAGGACAGCCGGGCGCGTCTCAAAGAAAACACAAATAGAATGGAGGGAGTGGCGCTGCGGGGACGCGATGAAAGGAAGAGAAAGGCCGATCATAATGGGAGGCGCTCTGGATGGGGCGGGCGCGGGCCAAACAGGACACTGGGACACAGCCGGGCGGGACGGGTCAGGGCACGCCGGGCCCGGCGACTCTCTCTGTTTGGTCACCGAGCACTGGCGGGTCCGTGCCGAGAGCAGCGCGCAAACAGCGGCATCTCTGGTGCCGGCGACCGGCAGACCCGTTGTTGTCGCCGGCCGGCTCCGAAATGAGTTTGTTCGCCAGTGTGCAAACACGCTTTACCGGCTTTTGTGACCGTGTCTTGTTTGGTCGGCCGGCGGGGCGGCGGACTGTTCTGCGTGATCAACTAGCTGGTTGGTTACCGCCTTGTGCGTGCGCCTCCCCCCCAGTCCCCCTCTCCCCAGCTCTCAATCTCTCGCTTCATCACCCGCCCAGCCGTGCACCGCTGTCGTTATCCGGGCGCACCACGCTGTGTGTTTCCCCCATCCTCGCCGGCTGGCTGCTCCAGTAAGCAATCGTCTTGTCGCCATCAATAAAGCCCATCATCCCGTAATGCGCTGGCTAACGATCGCTGTCTCTCTCGAGGGTCGACCGCCGCTGCCCTGCCGGCCGAGCGTGCTTAGCGCCGTGTTTGTGTGCGTGTCTGCCGACTGGTGACTGATGATGCTGATGCCTCTGTCCACAGATGCGGTGAAAAGCAGAGCTGCAGCGTGCCCGCTTCCGAGTCGGAGTTCGGTGACCCGTGCCCCAATACGCACAAGTATCTGGAGGCGCACTACATGTGTGTTCGTGGTGAGTAGAACCGCTCTCATGTGCTTAGTTTAGTCGGTTTTTACTATGGTTGTTTAAACTGAGCCGTGGGTTGGATCCGGGAGCTCATGGCTTGTTTATCTGCAGCCGACAGTCCCGGGGCGGCTGTCACAGAGCTGCTGACCACATCTGTGACCTGTGACCTTTAACCCATGCCACGGGGTGTCGGCCCTCTCGTAACCACCCGGGGGCGGTTAAGCTCGCCGCCGCCGGACCGTTTTCCGCCGGCGGTATCTAAACGAGCCACTGGTGTGATACCTTAGAGGACGCCGTGCCGGGATAAGGGTCGATCAGGCGCGCCATCAGACTGAAATCGGGCCTCATTTTTGCGTCTTTGACACGGCAGAGCGGCTGTCAGAGCTGGTCGATCGGGCCGCCCTGACGGCAGTGACAAGTTAGCCTCATCGCCCGCTAGACAGGCTGACACGGGCGCGATACCGACCGGTCGTGAACGTGGGCGAGAGATTGACGGAAATAGTCCATCACCGACGGCATAAACCCACTCAGGGAGTAAAAGTCGCGGTCTTGGCGTCTTGGTAGTGGATAAGGTTTCGCAGGCCGCGTTTTGATAGCCTCTGACCTCTGGCGTGACATCATGTTTCTCTTTGCCAGCAGCCGTTCAGCCGACCACCAAGAAGGCGCCTCCGGCCTGGCTGACCACGCAGCCGCCGCCGCCTTCCATCCTCACTGAGTCGCCGTTCAAGCCTCCGCCGCCGCCGTTCACAACGACGACGACCACGACGACAACAACGACTACGACAACTCCCAGTACGACCACCACCACGACAACCACGACGACGACGACGACCACAGCTGCGCCCATCTCTGTCGTACCGCCCAACCCTCACCGCGACCGCGACCTGGTCGAGACTCACGATGACGTCGAGCTGGACGGTCGTCACGAGGAGATCACGGGCGTGCACACGGAGCCCCGTCGGCCGGACGCTGGAGGTCGCCGGCCGTACCAGGAGCCGCCACCCGCCCATCGCGGCTACTACAGCAGTGAGTACTGCACGGGCGGGGCAGCGCTGCGGGCTGTGCTGTAGCACTATGTTTGTGTGAGCTGAAACTCACAGAGCGTCTAGTTGCGTCATGAATAATTTAGCCACCGGCAGCTGCTGAATTATGCAGATGCAATTCGAATGCAGGCGTTGACATTAGCTTTCATGCAATTCTTCACGTTGTCAGTTGCCCCCGGAAAAGTAGTTAACATCTGTGAATTCCTGCGGGGTTCCGCCCTAGTCCTGTCAGCGGCGACCCTGGTGTTTGAACATGCAGTTAGTCACGAGGGAGTCGAGTCGCATTAGGTTACACCTCGCCTGCTCCCCTCTGCTGCCGACATGTCTGCTGGTCCCTGATGGCCGTGGGACCGTTTCGACCCTGTCCCCCGGCGCCGACTGACTCACACCTCCCGCCCGCAGCTCCGGCGCCGCCGCCACCACCGAGGTCCGACCCGGAGCGTGTCCCGGTACCGGCATCACCGGCCGACCCCGCCGACACGGCCTGTCCGCCGACCGAGAGTCGCGGCGTCACCTGGAACTGGACCGGTGTGGGTGAGGAGGAGCGCCGGCCGTGTCCGCACGGCGCGCAGGGGGAGGCGCGCTGGGGCTGCCGGCAGACGGCCGCCGGACCCCGCCGCTCGCCCCCGCAGCCCGACCTCAGCGCCTGCCGCTCCCTGTGGCTCAGCTCGCTCGAGGAGCGCTTCCAGGAGCGTGAGAACGTGCTGAAGATCTCCAGCAACCTGGCGGACGTCACCGATGACCAGCCGATGCTGGGAGGTGACCTCGAGGCGACGGTGCGTCTCATCAACGGGCTGCCGCTGCAGCTCAACTCAGGGACTTTGGATACGCTGGACCCTCAGCAGCGCGAGGCAGACGTGGCTGCTCTCACTAAGACGATCGTACGCACCACGAGCAACCTCCTGGAGCCCGAGCAGCGTCAGATGTGGGGAGACTTGGGCGAGGAGCGCGCCCGGCCCGTGATGACCGATCTGATGCTCGGCCTGGAGGAGAACGCCTTCCTCCTGGCAGACAGTCTGGCTGAGGAGAAGTCGGTGGTGCAGTTCAGCGAGAACGTGCTGTTGTCAGCTCGCCTGATGACCGTCTGGACCCAGGAGGCTGTCGAGTTCCCCTCGGAGGAGGAGCGTGAACAGTTGACGCAGGTGAAGGACTACGTGCGAATCCCTGGCGAGTCGCTGCAGGCTAACTCGGACAATGGCCGCGCTGTGGTGGTGTTCATGTCCTACGAGGGCATGGACGACATCCTGAAGCCCTCGGAGCAGCGCTCCGGTATCCCTGAGCAGCAGCCTGCGCCTGGCGAGCCTCACGTGCGACCTATCGTCAACTCTCGCGTTGTGTCCGCCTCGCTGGGTAAGGGTCGCCACGTGGAGCTGCCCTACCCGGCTCTGCTTGTATTCCGTCACCTCAACACGGAGAATGTCTCCAACCCGCGCTGCGTTTACTGGGACTACACGCTCAACTACTGGTCCGAGAAGGGATGTCGCCGGCTGGCAACTAACGACTCACACACGACCTGCGAGTGCGACCACCTGACCAACTTCGCCGTGCTCATGGACATCCACACGACGCCGCTGTCGGAGACACACCGGATCTCGCTGGAGGTCATCACATACGTGGGATGTGGCGTGTCCATCGTCTGCCTCCTGCTGGCCATCATCACCTTCCAGTTCTTCAGGGGACTGAAGGTAAGAATAATCGACTATAACGTGCCGTGAGATTCGAGAACGTCAGTTATCCTACCTAAGTTTGTGTGGTGTTACTCACGGCAGTTGAGTTCAGCTTTGACAAATGGCTTCTGCAGCATCTGTTTGATAATCTAACCCACAATTGTTTCTCTTTTTTTTACAGTCGGACCGCAACTCGATCCACAAGAACCTGTGCATCTGCCTGCTGATCGGAGAGGTGGTGTTCCTGGCCGGTATTGGTCAGACGCAGGACAGGGTGCTCTGCGGCGTGGTCGCCGGTCTCCTGCACTATTTCTTCCTCGCAGCCTTCGCCTGGATGTTCTTCGAAGGTCAGTGATGGACGACGCGCGCGCGACGCCACTCGCAAAAGTTTGCTGGTGGTGCCCAGCGCTCTCGTGTAGAATTACATTGTGATTGATGTGACAAGTTAATGTCAAGAAGCCATAAGGCATTCTTCGCGCAATTTATTTCGCACGCCTCACGCATACCTGACGAAACTGGGGCCGTTTCATCTCCATTACTTTGCAGTAGTGATTAACTTGAACACTTTCGTGGTCGTTTCCAGGTGTGCCGTTAATCTCGCACTGTCCGGCCATAAATGGCTGCGATAAACTCACACGGGCCGACCTTTCTGGGTCGTCAACGTTTCCCAGTGGTCCGTTAACGACCCCTAAATCGCCCGCCCGTCGCTCCGTCGGCCGACTAGGGACTCTTCTGAGCCCTGCACGGAGGTCATTTGGGACCTTTTTCACGGTTAAATCTCATTTTGGCACTGACCTGTCCTCCACGACCCTTGTGGACTCGGCTTGACTTTCGCTACCCTCTAGTCTGACTTCCGCTGTGCAATCAGAGACCCTTGACACGGACCATCTAACTGCACCAACGCCCAATCTAACCCCTATCTCTCCCTTCCACAGGCTTCCAGCTATACGTAATGCTGATCGAGGTATTCGAAGCAGAGAAGTCGCGGATCCGGTGGTACTACCTGGCCGCTTACGGTCTGCCGGCGCTGGTGGTGGGAATTTCCTGCATCATCGACGCCACCAGCTACGGCACGGCCGACTACTGCTGGCTGGCCACCGACAACTACTTCATCCTGGCCTTCGTCGGGCCCGTGGTGCTTGTTATTCTGGTGAGTCATCCGTGGGGATGAGATGGAAGGGATTTGGTAGTGTGTTGGGGTGGGGTGGTTGCGTTATTCGGATATCTGTACACTTTGAGGAGCTGGTTTGGGGCCCGAGGGGCCGCGGTTTGCCGGCTGCAGAGCCTGTCGTGGTCCTGTTGGTCATCTATCGATACCCTAACTGCGGCGCAGTGGAGCAGTCGCAGTTTGTTTGTGTTGCGGTCGGTTTGCTGAACTGGCAGAGGCGTCATTTCGGGCAGGGCTAGTTGGGGAGGAATGGACTGGGTGTGGTCGAGCCAGAAACTAAAGAACTCTACAATCTGCAGTTATGAATCGAGACTGTGGGCCAGGAGGCTGTCCGCCGAGTTGCGTACCGTCTGAACCCAGCCAGGACGTCGGCAGGTCTCCTCTGATCCGACAGCGCCCTGCCCACTAATGGCAGCCGTCCGTCACGGCTCTGCCGGGCTCCGTTGTCGCGTCGGCTGTTTAGATTAGCACCGCTCGCACGCGACCATGCGCTGACGGCACGGGCGCCGCTGTGGCGCACCGCCTGCTTTGACTCAGAGCGCCTGTTTAGCTGGTTAGGTCACCGCCGGCCGAGCGGCGGCGCAGTTCGATCGTGACGTCACTGACCGGGGGAGTGTGGGACGGTCGGCCATGGGCGCTTTGTGTGACCTACTCTGTCTCCCGGCGGGGACGGCTCGTCGCCGCGCGCTAGTTCATTGAGATGGGTTTCAGGGTCGATTGGTATGGTTTGTCGTCCGGCTGTTCGGGAGGGGGAGGAGGGGCGAATCCAGTGTCCGCGCCTGGACCAGCTCATCAGAGCGCGACATTAAACCGGCGGCTGGCTGGCGCCGTGTGACGAGAGTCTGCTAATGGCCGTCCCGGGCGGCTGTCAATGGATGGTCACCGTCCGACCGCTGGCCCGCGTCACTGGGACAGCGGCAGCGCTCACCGCTCCGCACCGCGGCCAGATTCTGTTTGGACTGGCAGAGACAGCTCGTCCTTTGGTCTCATTCGTGGTTCTTAGTGAGCGTTTTAGATGCAAACATCAAAGTGAGGCCCCGCTGTGCTCTGTAAACTTCAAATGGTTCTTGTTGCTGCGTGGGTGCAGCATTTAACCTCTCCCTCCCACTGTCTAAATGTCCCCACGTGCCCTTATGTTCGTGACGTCACCGGGACTACATCTGACATCACGGTGTCTGTCTCTCCTCAGGCTAACCTCGTGTTCCTGGCGATGGCTGTGGCCATGATGTGCCGCCACTCAGTCGCCACAGTCACCATGAAGTCCAAGGAGCAGTCTCGCCTTTCATCAGCCAGGTCAGTAAGCACTGTGTGACTAACACCTTCGGTCGCCCCCTTTTCTATCGAGCGACTGTTGTTTTTCTCATGTAGCGAACGAGCGAGCGAGCGACTATGGTGGCGGGCGCTCTGTCTCTCTAAACCGACGCTCCCCGATTTGCTCTCTAGAGTAGTTGCTCAGGTTCCTTGTCCGGAACGTCTCGTGACCGCCGGTGGCAGATGACTTTCCTGGAGCGCGCCGGGCCGTCATACGATGATGGACGAGCTCGGTTTTTGGAGCGGCCCCCCGGCCTCCGGTGGCACGGCCGTTAAATCCGCTCGTCCGCAGGACGAAGAGCGATGAGGCCGCGTACGACCTCGGCCGATGTGTCACTGCGCGTAGAGCGATCGGACCGACGTTGACACCTCTTCTGACACGGACCCTACTGTTCCCTTTTAGTGACGAGGAGGAGAGTGTGATCGCCATGAAAATGAAGGCCCATATGTAAGAGGACCACTTGCTTGCGGGTTTCTGTGCTTGTCTCACCTGCCTGCCTGTCTGCGCTCTCACTGCATGCTGCTTGCTAGCTGTGGACGTTTTGGCTTGGCTCTGCCTGTACAGGAATACCTCTGGATGTTCCAGCTAACTTTGTACAGAAAGCACCTGTGTGTGTCTGACTACACGCTGTTTTTGGCGCTCTGCGTCCCGATCATCGCCCTGCTGGGCGCACCATTGGTCCAACCCAGCCGCGGGCCGGTCGGCCGCCTGTGCGCCGCTGTGCGTGCGTGTGTGTTGTTGCTGGGATGGTGTGGATAGTGCGTGTTGTTACTCGATGCCTCTCCTGGGAGCACCGGGAACGGCCGGAATGTATTGTCTGTTTGTACTGCTCAGCGCTGCACGCCGCTTGCCGCTCGTTGAATAGCCTGGCTGGCGTCCGTTGGGACGGTGGGAACGACTGCATCGTGCAATAAGCACACGGCTCGCATTGCCCGCACAGTGTGAAGTTACGAATTGACGCATTTTGTGTGAGCCTGCTAAATGATTCACAATGGTTGCTTTAGATTACGCTAACACACAAATGTGATAAAAAAAAATTGTGAATCCACCAGACGAAAAAAAAACTTGAACTTCAGTTACAGCACTTGGACTTAGATTACCTACATATGCAATTAGGGTCGTTTCTTTTTTGGTCATTGCTGTAGCGTTGTTTTACTATTTTATCACCCGTCGCGTGCATCCCTCCGAGCCTCACTGTGTCTGCCGTCACTGACCGCTGCCTTGTGTGTGGGTGCAGCGCCTGGATCCGCGGCGCCGTGGCTCTGGTGTTCCTGCTCGGGCTCACCTGGTCGGTCGGACTGCTCTACATCAACCAGCGCAGCGTCGGCGCCGCCTACGCCTTCACCATCCTCAACAGCCTGCAGGGACTCTTCATCTTCTTCTTCCACTGCGTCCAGAACGAAAAGGTAAGGATGGAAAACGAGACGAGATGTATTATCTTTAAGATCCCTAATCTGTAACTTAGGTGCTATCGAGGTATTTTTATCTAAAGCAGGGCACGCATGGCGTATAGTGTTTGATTTGATGGCCTGCCGCCATATACCACTCTCCATGAGACCTGTCTTCACCTTTGTTTGTTCGCTGCCCTCTGAGATGGGCTGACCTTACCGTTTGATCCCAATGACCCGTGCAGCAGTTAAAGGGTGACAGGTTATGGGTGTGAGTGATAGAATGACAGGTCACGGTCCATCATCGCGGCCCTGCTACCCGCTGTCCATCCCAGCCTGAGATGACTATTAGTCTCAGAGTCTATGACAGCGATTTGTTTGGATGGACGCCGTGATATGCAGCCTAGCCTTGGCTGTCGTGTTGATGCGATAGTCGGACTGTGAAAGGATAGGAGACGTTTCACCATGCTACTAAATAGTCGATAATGCAGGGGGCCTACCATCAATTCGGTTATGCGTTATTTTGCCTATGTTTTCATCCTAAGCTGACTAGATATTGTTCTTAGTGTTTATCTTCGATACGTGTTTCTCCTGTCCCAGTTTCTAACCAGTCCCGTCTTTCCGCAGACCCGCAGCGAGTACCGCCGCTTCTTCAGCGCGTGCAGCTGGCTGCCCGACTGCCTGCGCCCGGCCAAGACCAAGGACACCAGCTTCTATAGCAACACGCAGTCCAACACGCAGACGACGCACGCCGCCGGCTCGCCGACCACCGTGGGTACCCCGTTCGCCTATACGCCCGCCACGCTCCTGCCCGCGCACCATTTTTCGTCGTTCAAGTGTCACGAGGCGGCGCCGCCGCCGCCGCACCGTCACCACCTCCGCCACCACCTCCAGCACCACCGCCTCCCGTCGGTCGGTGTCGACGCCGACGCGCGCTGCCCCTCGCTGTCCGAGCCGGTACAGTACGCCGAGCCGTACGCCACGGGCAACTACAGTCCGCCGACGGCCGGCCGCCACCCGTACGACCTCAGTCGCAGCTCCAGTTACCTCCTCAAAGGTAGACGGCAGCCACCGGCCGCCCGCTCGCCTCACGCCCGCATGCCGAGGTCCACGCAGCTGCCTGTCGCATGGATGTTCGCCTGAGCCGATCCGGGCCGATGGACTGCCCGTAATCGGCGGGTGCCTCGCGCCCGCTGGGGTGGTTCCGTCTACCTCAGCGGGCGGAACCGGCTTGTCTGTTCACCGCCAACCCACCCTGCCTGTCCGGGATGTTCCGTGCCCTTTGCGGGTCGCCTGTAAACCGAATCCAGGCCATTGCAGCCTAACCTCGTCAAACCTAAGCTTCCCTCGTTCGCTGTCATATTAGCATGAACGCGTGCTATGATGTGGCACATGACAGCGAGCCTGACTCGATCAAACTATCGCGTCCTGTGTCGCTCGGCCTGATTCGACCCAGCCGGGGCTGCATGGTTCCGGACCATCGCGCGATGGTTCGTCACATTGGGGTCCGTCGAGCTTCAGTTAGTCTAGTCTCGGCCGGTGAGCCGACGCTGATGGCCGACGAATGGTCGTCAGTGGGGACGCATGGCCGCGGCTGCAGCCGCCCACGGAGGGTAGCCGCTCCATATTAGGGGAACTAGCTTCTGCCGAGAACTGAATGGCCATCGTAGCTGCCTACAGCGCTGGGACTACCGTCAGCTTTCGTAGCGTTACCTATGGTTGAGTTTCTGTTGTCAGATAGTTGTATAAATTCAGTTGTGCATATTTTTTACGTTTTAGATTTTTTGGGCTTTTAGATATGCATTGTTTGCGAGTAGTTGAAACATTATGTCGTTCATATTTCAACCAAATAACACACTTCAGTGTTACTAAACCGATATAACGCACAAAAATACTGGAGTTCATTATTAGTCACGTATACAAACTAGTATTTCTAAAGCAAAGGGCGCATTCCACGTTATTAAGCTTTATTTTCACTTTTGCCGCTGCCGTTACCTGTGTGCTTATTGTCGCTCCATTTCGACAGTATCTGGCGAACATGTGGACACAGCCGGAGGAGGACCCCAGCAAAGAGCGTGCGGCCACGACTACAGAGACGCGGATCGGCCCCGGCTCGCTGCGGACCCCTACTCATCGCAGCCTTACGCGTGACAAGAAGGTGAGTGCCGACGCCGAGCAGCGGCGCAGCCGGCGCGCCGCAGTCGTGACAGGCGTAAATGGCACTCTTCAGCGACCGAGATAAAAAGGCGCAGGGTCGCTTTCTGGTCATTCACGCTGCAGACAAAACGTGGGAATGCATCGGTGCGTTTTTACAGCGCCGCGCGACAGAAGAGTGGTCGCCGGACGTGGCTGCGAGTCACTCGGGGAGGGACGGGGCGCGTCAAGTGTGGTTACCTTGGCGAGGCGGGGGCGGCAAGGTGCTCTGCGCGCTGAATGCACGCTGATTGCGCGCATTTGAGACTCTCAGCGTGTGACGTAGTCCTTTGTCGGCACGTCGGAGCAGTTTGCTGGCAGTCATGCTTATTTGTCTAGCCCGGGCCGAGTATTGTGTGCAAGCAGTAGCAAAAATGGCAGAACTCGCTCAGAGTTGTTTGTATCGTGGCAGATGTGAATGGTTTCAAACGTCAGTGGTTGATATTTTTGCACAGATACGCTTGTCATTTGTCAAATCAAAGCCAGTGGTGCGGTTGCGAGACGCTGACTGTTCTGCATTACTCTTCTGACTGTTCAACATTCTTGCTCTGACGACTGACTGAGCAGCATTCCTGCTCTAAATTGTCTGCATATTCCTGGTCTGACTGCCGACTAATTGGGGATAGCCGACTAATCTTCATTTAATTTCCTGATTTTTTCCTACTGTTCAGCTCCACGATGCGCATCCACCGCACGTCTAACTCTCTGCACTCTGTGTGTTTCAGTCTGCCAGCATGCGCTCGGCCGGCCACGACAGTGGTAACGGCGGCTCGGCGTCGGACTCGCCGCCGCGGCTCAACACCTACCCGCTGCAGCAGCTCAGCGGCTCGCTGGTGCCCAACCCGGACTTTTTCGCCGTGGCCTACAGCCAGCAGCGGTGGCGGCCGGCCGGCGCGGCCGCCTCGGCCGGTCACCCGTACGTCGAGGTCGGCGAGCCCGTGTATGAGGAGATCGACCGCGAGCCGCACGGCGACCTCAGCGATGAGGAGCTGCGCCGCCAGAGCGACATCTCGCGCCAGAGCTCGCGCAGTTACGGCGACTCGCGGCCGCTGATCCCGTACTACCCGGAGCCGGCGGGCGGCGAGCAGGCGGCGCACGAGCGCCGGCTGGCGGCCCAGGTGGCGCTGGCCACCGCGCCGCCGCCGCCCGACACCTACACACTGGAGGCGCTGGCGGCGCGGCGCCAGCCAGTCTCGGCGCTGTGCGAGAGCAATCTCAGACACTTCAACCAGCGCCAGGTGATGAGTGACATTCAGCAGCTGCAGCAGCTTCAGCAGCTGCAGCAGCTGCAGGCGGCGGAGCGGCGCGCGGCCGTGCTACCGCCGGCCGCGGTGCGGACAGAGCCCATGGGTCGGCCGCCAGTGACTGCGCACAATGTGTGACTGGCCGGACAGTCTCCGTAGCCCCAGTGTGTGATACCCGCCCGGGCGGCGGGCCTCCGCGCGCGATCGCTTCATTCTCTAACCCGACAGAACAGGGCGGAGCGGGCTCGACGGCCGAGCTCCGGACAGTGTGCCCTCGGCGTCATATCGGACCCTTGCACACCGCTCCCCAGTGCTGACAGGGTGCGAGCGGAGCCCCGACGCGCGTCTGTTTTGATGTCCATGTTCACTCGGCACCGTCAGCCAGCTCTCAGTTGTTGCTAGTGTGTGCGCGTGCGTTCGTGTAGTGTGTGTTCTGATGTGATGGTCGCGTGGGCGCGCATGTGTGTACATTAATCTTCATCTGTGATATTATTATATTAAGCTGTCATAATGGAGATGAGAATATTAATAATAATGGCTGTTTGAGGAACGTTACTGTGTCGCTATACGAGAAGAGCTGGCAAGTCATGATCTAGGTGAGAGAAAGAGATGCTGACTAGACGGCTCACGCTCCGTAAATACAGGCTGAACATAATCCGCGCGTTTGAACGGAATGCGTGTTTGGTAGTGATGCTCGCACAGGAGGGCCCATGAATAACCCGCGCCCCAGTGGCGGTCTCAGCCAACTTCACCATAGTGGGGGGGGGGGGGGCATATGTTATCACCCACCTCTAACTAAAAAACTAAGAGAGCTAGAGAGACGCGGTAAACAGCAGTCGATAGCTCTCAATGCGTACGTTTGAAAGTATTTTTTGGTCATTTTTCATCTGAGAGCAAAATTGGAGGCACCAGAGGTCATCAAAGGTCAAAGTTTGCCAAATGTCATTATTTTTTCAGAAAACATGCCGTTACCTCAGGAACAATGGTAGCTAGAAAAAAACGCATGGAAATCGATAGTTTTGAACTCTTCTTTTGATAAAGTCATCATCAAAATTGACGTCAGGTCAACGGTTAAGCCTCCATGAAAATAGCTGTTTTTGGATAACACTTTTTCACGGATAACTTTTGAACCAGCAAAGATGAAGAATTGGCAATGGCGCTATCGTGTTTCTCTCCTTCAGTCGCTTCGAAAAATATGTTTTTTACCTGGAAAGGTCAAGGTCAAACTTTTACCTCAGTCCTCAGGCCAAGGTCACGAGGTGACCCATGACCCAAATAGGTTGAGAGGTGCCTTCGTAACATGTAACGAAGCTGTCAGAGGCGGTTGACACGTACTACGAATACCCGGTAGGACCCCTACTGGTTGACCTGACCTGACCTGTCCCGACCTGGCCTAAATGCATGAAGACATCATCTGTGATCAGAACTAACATGACATTCGTGATCAGCACCCCCCCCCCCCAAAAAAAAAACGATAGCAGCCTCACTTTACGACGCTCTAACAGGTCCCGATTTTCCCGACCTTTTGGTCATTGACCTGACCTGGAAAGTCAACCTAGGACCTTAAAATTGGGTAGGTATCACCGGCTTCTTCTCGTCACGGGCAGTACGCTCTTTTTTTCCGCGAAGCTCTAGCTCGATCAGTGACGAAACGGCAAGTGGGGGTTCAACGGACCCCCCTTATACGTTCGCGGCTGGAAAAACACCAATACGAGCGAGGGTTAGCCCTCGCCGGCCGAGAGGGGGGGGGGGTGCCGCCCCCCATAGGGTTTTTTTTTTTCGCGATAGCTCCGAACACGCTAGCGATAGAGAGCTAAAACTTGGCATACCTGACCTTTGATTCAATCCAGATCTTTTCACACCAGCCGTATTTTCGGGTCAGGTCAGGTCACTGACCTATGACGTCATAAGTGAACCTCTGCACGGTCTTCAGATGTCGCAACTTCGCAACGCCCTCACTGCCAGAGAAGCTTTCACAGGGAAATGAAACTTGCAGGATATAATATACATTACTAGTCTCACAACTTGTATATCTCGGATTTTTCCTAAAGGTCATATGAGGTCAGGGGCCGATTCGAGACGGCGCACTAGGAAGCTAGTAAGACTAGGCGGCCAAGTGACACTTGAATGTAGTGACACTAAGCGGTATTTTACACCAATCGGCTAGTGGCTCAGCGCGAACCGAAATCGCATAGTGACGCTTGAAATCAAGTGTCACTAGGGCCTTAGTGCGCCAACGCGAATCGGTCCCAGGTCATTTTCATGACCTCACCTGTACCTACCTACAGGTAGTTCCTACCACTACCCCGACCCCTACCCCTACCACTACCACTACCCCTACTACTACCCTACCACTACTACTACCCCTACTACTACCCCTACCACTACTAATACCCCTACCACTACTAATACCCCTACCACTACCCCTACCACTACTCCTACCACTACCCCTAACACTACCCCTACCCCTTGTATATGTCAATGGGGGAAAAATGAAAACTGCTATTCTGACGCCGGGAACGATCTTCAACTATCTCAAGCACACAGAATCGTGATTTGGTGCACTCCTTGCAAGGTTAGATGCGTCACTTTTGCAATGTTGACCTTGCGTGACGTCATTTATGACGCCATTAGGGCCATATTAGTTTTTCGTCAATAACTCCCGATCAAATTGAGCTAGCGAGTCGCGGAAGCCACCAATGGACTCAGGAAGACCTACCGAATCGAATGATATGCGACATGGCCTACTTTCCTACTTTGACCGATTTCGTGACCTGAGGGTGCTGACCTGACCGTGACCTGAGGTCAACACCCGAAGTTGACCTCATCCAAATAAAAAGTATATCATTCGACGCACCTGAGCGAGGCGAACACGATGCTGCCAAAATCGCGTCTCTGCGATCGTTTTTTGCGAAGCTATTCACCAAAAACTGAACCGTACCTTGGGGCACTTGACCTGACCTCAGAGGTCACCGGTTGACCTAGGACCTTAAAATCGGGTACCAATCTCTGCGTCTCGTAACGGCGCACACGCTCGTTTTTTTTCCGCGACGCGCTAGCTCCACCAGGGGCGAAACAGCGAGAGGGGTCGTACCCCCCCCCCCCTCCCCCCTCGGCCGGCGCGTGTGTAGAAAACCAATAGGTCCCGGCGAGGGTTAAATCTGCAAGCAACAAACCATGAGACTCCAAGCATCAGCAAATCTTTAACCCGCACCCGCTGGGCTATTCAGCCATGCGCGCCCCGCTGTGAGGGGTAGGGTAGATTCTGAACCCGTCTAACTTCGTTGTAAAAGGCGAAAAACGACACTCGAAAGCTCTCAACAAGACGGATCTTTGGAGAGAAAAAATTGCCTAAATGGGTTCCAGGTCAGGTCAAGATCAGGTCAAGGGTAAGACTGCAAGTTGCTTCCTTATCAGTCGTGTAGCACTGGCCAAGAATGGATTTATATTTATTACCCAAAACGCTTTTATTCTTCGTCGACATAGACAAGATGCATTGCATACATTGTCACGCGAAGGTCAAGGTAAATTAACCCGCGCCGTGCTCGGGAAGACGCTTTTACGCCCCCCCCCCCCCCCAGGTTTTTGCGTGAATATCTAAAACGACGCCTGTTCATACATCCTTTCTGCACGGCTGTAAAAATGTTGGATCCGGGTCTTTCAAGGTCAGGTCACTAGGTCACGAAGTTTCAATGCCTGTCATAGCTAGACCGAATGACCGATGACCGATCGCTTTGCTACTTTCAGCGATTAATAACAACTTAATAGTATGCATAAACTCTATCTCGGAATTTTTCTATCCCGCGCTGTGCTGGTGGGCTGTGTTTTTCGTGTCGTGCTGTGGGGGGGGGGTCACGCCCCCCTCTAACTCGGCTTTTGGGCCACGTGCCAACACGTCGTACGCGGCAATCGAAATAGCGTAAAAAATAATGACGGAAACACTTCGGTATTTTTTAGAAAGGTCAAATGGCATACCTACGTTGGAAACTGCCAACGGCTAACTCGGGAACCAATAGGTAGAGCTACGCGCCGCGGAAAAGTACATTCGATAGCCCTTTCACCGGCCTTTCAGGATATTGTTCTCAGATTGACCTCAGGTCAACGGTTTAGTAGCCTCCAGAGGGAAACAACTGTAAAGATAGCCGTTTTCACGAAAAAGTTTTTTCAGCAATAACATTTGACTCAATTGAGAGCCACCACATTACTTTTGGCAGCATCGTGTTCCTCTCGTCGAGACGCAACGAATGAACTATTTGTTGACCTTAAAAGCTCATTTTGAAAAAAAAAACTCAGGTCAAGGTCATGGCCTGACCGAAAAGGGCCATGCTGCATAGCAATCGATCCGTATGGTCGAGCTGAACACATCTGACGTGTTTTCACCGCTCTAGCACGTCTCTATCAAAAGTTATAACCAAAAATTTGCTGGTGACCGTTCACGACCTGCGATTACATCAGGGACACACAGATGCATTTTTCCGATTCAGTGTGTCACTTATACCTATGAACTTATGTTTGAGAGGGGTTTGAACGACAATCGTCCAAAAGAGGCGCATTTCAATTTTCTCCCATTGACTTAGGAGTTAGGGGAGAGTGGGGAAAGATGCCCAGGGTTTTACTATGTCATATATTGTTCGAAAATGACGATCGGAAATCAAAAACTTGGAGTTTCAACGGAAGCCGACATCATTTTTCTCCAAAAATATCACACTTTCGTGCCTGAAATATGATGTCTTTTTTGCTACTAAGCATTTTCCTGAAGAAGTGAAAGGGGGCATCTTACCCCACAGGGTGGGAAAGACGCCCCCTGGCGTTGGGGAAGATGCCCCCTGCACTATAAGTGACATAAATGGGCACGTGAATCGCCTGAACGAATCAGTAGTCCCTTCGAGCCTGCAGTAGACACCAAACGTCATCGTAAGGGCCCTCAAAAGTAGTCGTAAGGGGCTTCAGAGACGTCATCGTTAGGGCCATCATAGTCCAGCGCGGCCAAACAAGCCTCCGTGGTGGCGTTTGGAGACCACTGTGGGGCCCTTATAGGTCTTCATGATGCTTGAGGGCCCTCGAGCCCATCATGGGGACCTCAGATGCCAGCGCGGCCCGTGGAGCCAACGTGGGAGCCCTCAAAGGATGTCGTGAGGGGCCCTGGAGCCAATAATGGGGCCCACAGAGGCCGTCGTGAGGGCTCTCAGATTCAGATGCCGCCCAAAAAGTCGCTGTGTGGGCCGAGAGACCGGCATGGTGAGCACCCGACCGTACTGGACTCTCAATAGTCCCAGATTTGCTTTTGTCTCTCATCACAAGTATGTAATAAATGATTTGACGGGTTGCTTGAAGGACAGCCTACGGATTTAGGGGGGGGGGAGTCTTTCCCCATCAGCACAGGGGGCATCTTACCCCAAGGTACCGAAGTAACATTAAATCAGTACAATTTGTTAGCCATAAAACTACACCCTGAAACAAACTGTTTGGGACGCAGTACACGCATGTTAATGTATCACGACTATAGCAAGGGACGCAAAAATTATCTACCTCCTTTGATATTTACAATGTTTTGACACCAAAATATTTTTTGAAAGCAGCAAATAAAAAACATGCAATCACCAGCCAGCCGTTGCCCAACTGAGCTTCGCAAATTTATGTGCAGTTAACAAGGCA